TTTAGTGGGATTACTGAGTGTATAGATTCTCCCCCCTAATCTAGGTTTAGTGGGATTACTGAGTGTATAGATTCTCCCCCCTCTTCAATGACCTGCCTGTCCGTCTCCCCTCACCGGATGTTATCAGCTGTGATGCCATAAGGGAGCAGGGAAGGTAATCTGAGCAGTTTCTCTGAAACTGCTATGTTTACAGCAGGCAGGGTTAACCCTAGATGGACCTGGCACCCAGACCACTTCATTGAGCTGAAGTGGTCTGGGTGTCTATAGTGGTCCTTTAAGTTTTATACCTTTTCAAAAGGAGATAATGGGGCCCGGCCTCCTAGATGGTGTTAATACTATAGTGAAAGAAATGTACAGTTGTATTCCAAACACTATAGTCTTTCTTTAAGTATTTTGTACAACTTGGATGGCGAAAAGGAGTTTGCCCTCCAACAATATTTTACAAGGAGGAATGAAATTGTGTATGACGGTCTTTGCTGGGGTTCACAAGTAATAATTCCTACTTTGCAGCAAACAGTACTGAAGTTACAACACAGCACAGATCAGGATGTAGGAAAAATGAAATAAAGGGCACAGGAATATATTTGGTGGCCTACATTAGCTACTGTTATCTCTTCTTGGTTATATGGGCTTGCAATGCGTGTACACAGACTCAGCAGAATCTGAGCAGGGATTTGGCTTTGACATAGTGAATCTTGGAGAAAAATCTATTAATTTTGCAGGACCAGTGGAAGTACGAATGTATTTAGTAGTTGTGTATGCTCATTCTAAGTAGCCAGACGTGGTTTGAATGTCAAGTACTACAGCAAAAAAAAAACCAAAACATAAAACTTTCCAGTTTGTTAGCAATATTTGGACTTCCTAAAACATTGCTTTCAAACAATGGTCCACAATTCCAATAATATCCTGTAAGACCGCTTCATATTTTGCAGCCTTTAATGGACAGGATGTACAACTTGTATAAACTAAGCATGTGCAATTGTTATCAGATGAATTCCATTCAATTCAGTAGCACGACAAAAATGTTCATATACATTCAAATTCACAAGGATGCAAATTAGGGGCTGTATTAACCCCTTAAGGACACATGATGTGTGACATGTCATGATTCCCTTTTATTCCAGAAGTTTGGTCCTTAAGGGGTTAAGCAACTGCAGCTGCAAAGTTAAGAGCAGGGCTTATCGCAATTTTGATCTCTTGTTTAGTAGATAGTTCCCTAAATTGATAACCTTACGTGGGATTGCCATAATAAGGGGTATGAGGTCAGGGCCTTATCTACTAAGCAACTAAAAGACTTTGCTTCTTTTGCTCTTTCAGCAGGTTAGTAGATAGATCCCCTAATTTGGTATCCTGATGTTAGGTTCCCCTGCTTAGGAGACCAAATTGGGGCATTTAGTAGATGGGTCCCCTAATGTAATACCCTAATGTTGGCTTTCCTTACTTAATATACCAAATTAGGACATTGTTTAGTAGACAGCTGCCCTAATTTAGTACCCTACTTAGATTACCAAATTAGGGCGCTTTTTAGTATATGACTCTCTTACTTTTATACCCTTAATTGGGATTGACTATTAAAAGGTACACTATAGATACTTATACAACTTTAGCTTATTGAAGCAGTTTTTGTGTATAGATCATGCCTCTGAAGTTTACTGCTCAATTCTCTGCCATTTAAGAGTTAAATAACTTTTATTTCTGTTTAAGCAGCCCTAGTCACACTGACTGTTTATGCAGCCCCGACCTTGACTGACAAAACCTGCATAAAAAAAAAAAAAAATTGTTTCCTTTTCAATCAGTTATTAACTGGCTTTAGAAGTGATGATCTCCTGCTCTGTATATTGAACATTAACAACAGTCAGGAGGCTCCTGCAATGTCTAGCAAGCTATTAGCAGTGCAGGAGATAAAACATTCTAAATTAAACAGGCTGTGCCATAAAGAAAAGTGTAAATATTCAATCTCAGTTTACAGGAAGTCTGTGCATGTTACATGCAACAAGGTGTTACTAAGGCTGTATGAACAGAGTGATTTAACTCCTAAAAGGCAGAGAATTGAGCAGTGAGACAACAGTGGTATTATCTATACACCAAAACTGCTTCATTAAGCTAAAGTTGTTTTTCTGACTATATTGTAACTTTAAGGATACCAAATTAGGGTGTTGTTTGGTAGATAGTCCCCTAACTTGGTACCCATACATGGGGTTCAGTGGCGTCCATACCAGGGTCGCAGGGGTCGCGGTTGCGACCGGGCCCGGCCCGGCCGCCCATGCGACCCGTGATGTACCCACAGGGCCAGCCTCTTCCCCTGGGGGGCCCAGGAGGCGGCCACCTCAGGCCCCCCCGAGGCTGGCCCTGCTGACCCCAGCGGGCAGGTGGCCGGTCGGGCAGGTGGGCGCGCGAGGGAGCACTCAGTGCTTCTTCTTCCGCTCCCTCGCGCACCGCACTGATGAGGGAGCCGGAAGATGACGTCATCTTCCGGCGCCGGCATCCCTACGCGGCGCGCGAGGGAGCTGAAGAGGAAGCACTGAGTGCTCCCTCGCGCACCCGCCTGCCCGACCGGCCAGGCAGCCCGCCCACCCGACCGACCGGCCAGGCAGCCCGCCCACCCAGTGACCAGGAGCCCAGCACCACCACTGGACCCCAGGGAATCCCCCCAGCACTCCAAAAGGTAAGGAGGCTGGGGGGATTAAATTTGAAAAAAAAAAAATGTGTGTTAGTGTATGTTAGTGTATGTGTGTGTATGTTAGTGTGGGTGTATGTTAGTGTGTGTGTTAGTGTATGTGTTAGAGTGTGTGTGTGTTAGTGTATGTGTTAGAGTGTGTGTGTATGTTAGTGTGTGTGTATGTTAGTGTGTATGTTAGTGTATATGTGTGTGTTAGTGTGTGTGTGTATGTTAGTGTGTGTGTGTATGTTAGTGTGTGTGTGTTAGTGTATGTTAGAGTGTGTGTGTTAGTGTATGTTAGTGTGTTAGTGTGTGAGTGTATGTTAGTGTGTTAGTGTATGTTAGTGTATGTGTGTGTGTGTATGTTAGTGTGTGTGTGTTAGTGTATGTTAGTGTGTGTATGTTAGTGTATGTTAGTGTGTGTGTGTGTGTTAGTGTATGTGTGTGTATGTTATGTGTGTGTGTGCATGTTGTGTGTGTGTGTATGTTAGTGTGTGTGTATGTTAGTGTGTGTGTGTGTGTGTATGTTAGTGTGTTAGTGTGTGTGTGTATGTTAGTGTGTTAGTGTGTGTGTGTTGTTAGTGTGTTAGTGTGTGTGTGTGTTAGTGTGTTAGTGTGTGTGTGTATGTTAGTGTATGTTAGAGTGTGTGTGTTAGTGCGTATGTTAGTGTGTGTGTATATTAGTGTATGTTAGTGTGTGTGTTAGAGTATGTGTGTGTTAGTGTGTGTGTGTGTTAGTGTATGTGTGTGTTAGTGTATGTTAGTGTGTGTGTATGTTAGTGTGTGTGTGTATGTTAGTGTATGTTAGAGTGTGTGTGTTAGTGTATGTTAGTGTGTGTGTATGTTAGTGTATGTTAGTGTGTGTATGTTAGTGTGTGTGTGTATGTTAGTGAGTGTGTGTATGTTAGTGTATGTTAGTGTGTGTATGTTAGTGTGTGTGTGTGTTAGTGTATTAGTGTGTGTGTATGTGTGTTAGAGTGTATGTGTGTTAGTGTGTGTGTCAGTGAATGTGTCTGTTATTGGGTGTGTGTCTGCTAGTGAGTGTGTTACTGTGTGTGTCTGTTACTGAGTGTGTTTGATGTCTGATAGTGAGTGTGTGTTTGTCAGTGAAAGTGTATGTTTTGTAAGTGTGTGTATGTATGTCTGCCGCTGAGTGTGTCTCTGTCAGTAAATGTGTGTGTCTGTTAGCTAGTGTGTATGCGTCTGTTCGTGAGAGTGTGTGTGTGTGTCTTCAGCATTTACCTTTCTCCAGCGTCGGACTCCCCAGTGTCCGCCACTCAGCTCCGAAATGCACATGCGCAGCAAGAGGCGCGCGAGCGCATTTAAACCGCCCATAGGAAAGCATTACTCAATGCTTTCCTATGGACGTTCAGTGTCTTCTCACTGTAATTTTCACAGTGAGAATCGCGGAAGCTCCTCTAGCAGCTGTCAATGAGACAGCCACCAGAGGCTGGATTAACCCTCAGTGAAACATAGCCGCTTCTCTGAAACGGCTATGTTTTCAGCTGCAGGGTTAAAACTAGAGGGACCTGGCACCCAGACCACTTCATTGAGCTGATGTGATCTGGGTGTCTGTAGTGGTCTTTTAAGTGTGTGTGCATACCGCGGTCGCGGGGTCGCAGCCCTGCAACCCCTGCGACCAGGTGCCCGCCACCATGTGTTGCGACCCCGACCCGCGCCGAGTAAGCGCGCGGGGGGGCCCACGGATCAATTTTTGCACCGGGGCCCCGTGGGTCATGTGTACGCCACTGCTGGGGTTGCATATTTAAGGATACCAAAATAGGGTGCTATGGGTAGATAGAGGTTACTTTTACTGTAATTGTTTTATTTCTAATTTTAAGGGTGTACACTTTATTACTGGTTCCTGAGAAAGCACTTTAGGAAGGTAAATGTTGGACCATCAGCCTTATATTGTTTAATATTTACCAAATATATTTTTGCCACACATTCCCATTGCTGAAGCTCATATTTTGAAGCAGATGTGTGGGTGTACTACTTATTTCAGCCATCCTCCACAGATCAGGGATCTTTATATGATGATATAGAGCTACCTTATTTGAGTGCAATAATTTACTAGGCTGAATTGGGCAGGTACGCTGTATTAAACTAGGTTATGTGGTTTTTGTTCCTAGTTTTTTTTATTCTACGTATACACATGTGTATATACACACACACACACACAACGGAGAACAGAGTGCAGATGGGGTAACATACTTGAGAGACTGTGGGGAGAAAACATTGAGGAAAGGTATTTATTTACAACACTGATTTCTTATCTGTAACTTCATTATTTGGTAAACTATTTCTATTTTCTGAATCGAACCAAAATTAAAATTTTGTTAACGTGCTAAGCATACAGTAACAAAATATACTTTGGGATATTTTTTGTTGTTACAAAATTCTGGAAAGTGAGCCTCGTTAAAGACACACTTCAAGCATGAACATAACGTTTGGTTAAGTAATTAGCAGAATTGTTTTTGGATTGCCAATCATTTCTTGCAAAATCAAATATATGTTTTGCCACGTTATGCAACCTGCCTTTACTGTCACACCATCTCCATTATGCTTTGTGGTTACGATACGTTTTAACAGTTAACCACGTCTCACTCCTTAAAGCAGCACTGCCAACCCAGTATTAAAAACTAGTATTTTATAAAGATATATTCTTTATGCAATCCTCATTATGTCTGTGTTTCACTGGAATTTCAACCCAGTCAAGAGATATACGGAGACAAAGTAGAGACTACTTACAATAAGACAGGGGGCTTTCCAGGACATTACGGGCACCATAACTACTACAGTTATGGTGCTTGAAGTTTTCCTTTAGATATTAAAGTGTGTATATTGTTTCCCCATTCAGCATTTACTGTAAATTTTCTTGGGGGGGGTGAACCCTGAAAAAAAAAAAACAAACAAAAAAAAAAAAAAACACCTTTCATCCAGCATGCGTACATTTGTTTTTAAAGTTTAAGCAATTAGTGAAAAGTACAGTGTTTTTTCTATTTTAATTTACTGTATTATAAAAAAATAACATAGGAGGGAAACAGTTTGGCGTCATAAATGGTGTCACAAAAGATTTTGAACAGTGTTTGTAATAATGTTTTGCATCAAATGCTAATGAAATGCAGAATTATACAAGATGAGATGTCCACTCCGAAATCTTCATGCATTCGTTTCTTATGAAATTTGGTTTACACTGGAGTTCCCTGGTTTTCTTGAGTCTTAGCTTGTGATGATCTCCTCTTCTTTAAAAGACCTGCAGCTTGAAGTCGCTTTGTCTCTTGATATACCTATGTGGAAATGAAACAAGAAAACCTTTAAATCTTACCAGTAACTAGCTATAAGTACAAAAACATGTAAGCTCTAATTAAAAGTATCTACAAAAAATAAAGATGAATAACTTAAGTGGATTTCTACATTTTATTTTGAAATGGATAAATCAAGATGTTTAAATTTAGGGATGTAAATAAGAAATTTTGATGGAGCTAGTTTTGGGTTATTAAAGAATTACATCAGAATGTCTGTTTCTTCATACTTTTTTTAACACCCCTTATTATCCAGATGGCCACTTTGAGGAAGCTTCTATAAATTACCAGCTTATGAACATGATCCACTCTTCTGTTAACAAAAACAAGAGAATCACAAGGACAGTGAAAGTGGGGTAACCCTAATAGTGTATTGGAATTGAAAAAGGAAAAAGTTCTAGTCCAGACGAATAAAAGAAAAGTTAAAACTTTTAATATATATATATATATATATATATATATATATAATTTTTTTTTTAATTATACCAATTTAGTACAGAACTCCAATAAAAATAGTAATAACTCAGGTATGTACAAAGAGAGGATAATTCATGTAAGCTCAGAGTACACAGTAAGAGGCTAATTGCTTAGAGTAAAAAAACTAGTAACATACATGAAAAAAATAGTATCAAATTAATGACAGCAACTGTTACAATTAAAAAGCACAGATAGCCACAGAGTTGCTTCAGAATTGGTAGGGTAGTGTTAATATTGAGTGCATAAGAATATATAGTGCAATCTAAGATTAACAGAATGATGTCTAGATGCAAAGACTAAAGAAAGGTTAACAGGAGAGATGATACTAACAAACTGTATCAATCCTGCATATCGGTATGAGGGGTAAAAAGGTAGTTTCGAAAGGACAGTTATGAATTAAAAATAGTTCACTGCTGGTATATCCAAAAGAAATAAAACGTAAGCAGTTATGTAGTATCTCCCCCATTCCGCCCACTGGAAAAATGACAGGACACAATTTTAACTAGTTATGAAAGGAACCCAACCCTCAACTTAGATGTGCCTTTGAGTGCAGCTAAAATAAACCTGGCAATACTACAGGGAGTGCAGAATTATTAGGCAAGTTGTATTTTTGAGGATTAATTTTATTATTGAACAACCACCATGTTCTCAATGAACCCCAAAAACTCATTAATATCAAAGCTGAATATTTTTGGAAGTAGTTTTTAGTTTGTTTTTGGTTTTAGCTATGTTAGGGGGATATCTGTGTGTGCATGTGACTATTACTGTGCATAATTATTAGGCAACTTAACAAAAAACAAATATATACCCATTTCAATTATTTATTATTACCAGTGAAACCAATATAACATCTCAACATTCACAAATATACATTTCTGACATTCAAAAACAAACAAAAACAAATCAGTGACCAATATAGCCACCTTTCTTTGCAAGGACACTCAAAAAGCCTGCCATCCATGGATTCTGTCAGTGTTTTGATCTGTTCACCATCAACATTGCGTGCAGCAGCAACCACAGCCTCCCAGACACTGTTCAGAGAGGTGTACTGTTTTCCCTCTTTGTAAATCTCACATTTGATGATGGACCACAGGTTCTCAATGGGGTTCAGATCAGGTGAACAATGAGGCCATGTCATTAGATTTTCTTCTTTTATACCCTTTCTTGCCAGCCACGCTGTGGAGTACTTGGACGCGTGTAATGGAGCATTGTCCTGCATGAAAATCATGTTTTTCTTGAAGGATGCAGACTTTTTCCTGTACCACTGCTTGAAGAAGGTGTCTTCCAGGAACTGGCAGTAGGACTGGGAGTTGAGCTTGACTCCATCCTCAACCCAAAAAGGCCCCACAAGCTCATCTTTGATGATACCAGCCCAAACCAGTACTCCACCTCCACCTTGCAGGCGTCTGAGTCGGACTGGAGCTCTCTGCCCTTTACCAATCCAGCCACGGGCCCATCCATCTGGCCCATCAAGACTCACTCTCATTTCATCAGTCCATAAAACCTTAGGAAAATCAGTCTTGAGATATTTCTTGGCCCAGTCTTGACGTTTCAGCTTGTGTGTCTTGTTCAGTGGTGGTCGTCTTTCAGCCTTTCTTACCTTGGCCATGTCTCTGAGTATTGCACACCTTGTGCTTTTGGGCACTCCAGTGATGTTGCAGCTCTGAAATATTGCCAAACTGGTGGCAAGTGGCATCGTGGCAGCTGCACGCTTGACTTTTCTTAGTTCATGGGCAGTTATTTTGTGCCTTGGTTTTTCCACACGCCTCTTGCGACCCTGTTGACTATTTTGAATGAAACGCTTGATTGTTCGATGATCACGCTTCAGAAGCTTTGCAATTTTAAGAGTGCTGCATCCCTCTGCAAGATATCTCACTATTTTTGACTTTCTGAGCCTGTCAAGTCCTTCTTTTGACCCATTTTGCCAAAGGAAAGGAAGTTGCCTAATAATTATGCACACCTGATATATGGTGTTGATGTCATTAGACCACACCCCTTCTCATTACAGAGATGCACATCACCTAATATGCTTAACTGGTAGTAGGCTTTCGAGCCTATACAGCTTGGAGTAAGACAACATGCATAAAGAGGATGATGTGGTCAAAATACTCATTTGCCTAATAATTCTGCACTCCCTGTATATGGTCATAATGCTAATTGCAGGGATGGCAGACAAGATAATAATAAGGCCTTTGACTAAACTGTGTCTATGCTATATTCAAACGGTTTGTAGCTAGCAGTAACGAACAGGCTCTGTCCCGATGTAACTTGGAGGGTATAAGCAAATCTAATCAAAATTTAATCATGTATTTCTGGCTCATTATGAGGAACTTAAGGCAAGTAGTTTGTTAATAAAATCAGAAGCGAGCATCTAAAGCAAAATAATAAAGGAGTAACCCGATAACCTGAGACTCATTCCTAATCCTAGAAAGCGTCATTTCAATTTACAATCACTTCAAAAGGAATGCAAATGGCTATACACATTTAAAAAAAACTTTCACACCAATGGGTTTAAATAAAGAATGCAATTATACACCCAATATCCATAGGTAAAGTTAGCATATGGCATTTTTTTTCCCTCAAGTAAAATTTTAAATACTTCAGTTATGTTTCTTAGATTAGTTATCACTGTCATTTCATCATTTATTATTTTACTTTTACTTTGTACATACCAAGGTTATTACTATTTTTATTGGAGTTCTGTACTAAAAAAAGATTTTATAAACATTTTAATTTTCTTTTCTATTATTAGTCTGGACTTTTTCATTTTTCAATAAGAGAAAATAGGAATGGGTGTCAGCTATGAAAGCAGTAGCATGGATCTTAATTAATCACAGTTATCCACTAAATCGAAATCTCCAGGATTCAAAACAAATGTAAAATTCTAGACCAAAATAGTCAAACTGGAAAAAATTAAAGGGACACTATAGCCACCAGAACCATTAGTGCTTAATGTAGTGGTTCTGGTGTCTATAGCCTGCAGGCTGAGAACTGTAGACGCTGCATTTTCAGAGGGCCACAAGAGGTGCTTCCAAGTCCAGTGTTGGACAGTATGCAGCACTGGCCTTGAATGTTCCCCATACTATGCTTTGAGTCAATGCATTTTTAGGAGGAGATGCTGATTGGCACAGCTGGGCAATTTGCAGCGCATGTGCAATATCCTCCCAATGCTTTCCAATAGGAATCATCAAGATTGGTGATCACAGCCATGGAGGCAGAGCTAACCACCAGCCTTTAAGACACTACCAATCAATAATTTGGCAAAACCTGTATGTATCACCTTGTATCACCTTTGCACCAGCATTATATTCAATGCAGAACAGAATCCATGTAAACAACAAAGAAGTTAGCCTTACCTTTAAGCACAGTGCTTTCTTTGCCAACCACCTACGAGTGGCCCGTCTGTAGTACTCTGGGGGGAATGTATATTCGATGCCCAGCTGTTTGCACACATTCTCAAATGCATCATAATTTGTGAGGCGCAAATTTTTTAGCAATTTCTTGCGTCGGTCCATGGACATCAACATTTTGCGTTTGTTTGCCTTGTCCTGCATGAACAGAAACAGTAGTGAAAAAAAAAAAAAAAAAATAAGCCTAAATGAGAAGGGCATCCAAAACACCTCAATACAGCGACTGCATTGGCTGTTACACATTTAAATAAAATCCTATCCATCTCAGTTCCTTGCGGTATTGAAAACAGGACTCCCTTATTAAGTAGAAGCGCACACAGGATCCTCCTCCAATATGGACCTTTCTGCCATAGGACAGAACTCAATTTTTCCTTGCATATCAGCATTTGCTTCCAGAAACTTTGTGTAAAAGGAACATAAAGTTTATTCCCTTTGGAAATATGATTTTGCTGTATTAGATGTCTAAAATTGAGCTGGCAAGTAAAAGTTTAAGCTTTCATTCATCTATTAATACAATTGTCAGTACAGAATAGTGGCAATAGCCAGTGCACACAGAGAATACACAGAAGAAGATGCTTATGCATTTAATGCATTAATGCATACATGATTATCCTCCCTCATCCCCGCTCTCTTTGAGCTATCTAGTTCTCTTGTGCTTATATTGATAACTTAGAATTGGTATCCATTGGGATTTGTTTACTATTGGTGAGATTCACTCTTATTGGGGAGGGTCTTTGTGAGTTAGTGCTGTTATAACTTGTGCTGGATTACTGAACTTATTTTAATAAAATGAAAGTAACCACTCATGCACAGGTCAGGCAGTTCTAGGTTTGCTCACCTCAACATAATCTGATCTAAGGAAATGTAAATATCCATATGGCTCAAGATGGGATGATACAAGCAGTCAATCCTTAAACTATTCCCACTTTCCATGTCTGCTTACCTTTGGATGCTTTTGAATGTGCTCTTGGAAATTCCTGATCCTGGCTGTCATCTTTGCAACTACAGCAAGAAGAGAAGTGCGTTAGGAGTAAGCAACTTTATCAAGTCTATAAAATCCAGGATTACATAAATTGTTGGACTGTAACTCTGGTCACTCTTACCCAACTGAGACTAGTGGAAGAGAAACAGGAAAATATGTCCCTCAACACCTAGTCAAAGATGCAATTTTTCTACAAAGATGCTTTATTGCAAAATAAACCAAAAAACTAATGGATGGCCTTAGCCTAAAAAAAGGATCCTAACCTCACTAAGATACCTCCAATGTTAGAACATTCTAAGGTAATAGCAAATAATAACTTTATTAGTAACAGAGAACCAATAACACACAATGTGCACCTCAACAAAAAGTGATGTATATGTGTGTAGTATATACACTTTAATACCCAATTAATAACATCTAAGAACTACAGGTACTCTTTCTAAGGAACCTCCTGTTATATATAACAAATCTGGGATTCTTATTTATGTATTGTCTTTGCGCCCCTCTGTTCATCCATCTCTACTATTTATAGTTACTTCAGCACCTACCGGTTGTACTAAGGGATTTAAATACAAGACTTTTATGGTTGCTTGTTATTTGCAATTACCACTTAGCGAACTAAGCCCTTTTGTAGACCATCCCAGTTTAACCCTTGACTCCCCATTCTTTTTAACTGCATTAAGTAGTCTAGATTTTGACTATTTAATTCACCTCACTTTTTGTTGAGGGGCACATTGTGCGTTATTGGTTCTCTGTTACTAATAAAGTTATTATTTGCTATTACCTTAGAATGTTCTAACATTGGAGGTATCTTAGTGAGGTTAGGATCCTTCTTTTAGGCTCTCATTTGTTTTTTGGTTTATTTCTGCCATTTGCTCTGGGTTACACCCTTTTTTACCCCCTCAACCCATTTTTAGCATCGGAGTAGGTTTTTCCAAACCTGGAACTATTCTATATTGCACAATATACGATATCTAATAAAAAGGGCTTAGACTCCAGAGATAGAGGATCACCCACTCTATGTAAATATATTAGAAACAATATAAAGTTGACAGGATCAACTTTCTGCTCTTAGACTTCAAGTTAAAGGCCCTCATATAGGATGCTACCCTTCTTCAGTTATGCAGTATTTCTGATGCCTTCCCCTATACACCACCAAAGGGTTGTCATAGCTCCATTTTTACAGAGCTCTTCAAAGAAACATACAATTTGCAAGTCAGCTTTGTGAATGGGGAGTCACTGATTGGCTGAGAGCGTCAGCTGACGGCTCTCAGCCAATCGGCAGTGCCTCTGCCCAGCGGAACTCCATTCTTGCTGAATCTAAAAATTCTGAAGCCTGATGCAGTCTGGAGGGAGTAGACATTGCCACTGGAGACAACATAGGAGTTAAACTGTTAGAGTACGATTTAACTCCTTGAGTTAAGAGTGCCTCCAGGAGCCTCCTGGCACCATAACAACTTCATTTAGATGAGGTTGTTTTGGTGCCTTGAGTGTCCCTTTAAGTAATAACCCACTTAGGTGTTTTTTTTATTTATTTATTTAATCCATTTGGTTTACTAAGGACAAAAGAACATGTGAGTGTTGTAATTAAGAAAGATTTCAGCATTTGAGGTAAAAAAAGGGAAATAAAGAAACAGTAATTTCTCAACACAGCAATAAACACATTTTGCTCAATCACACAAGAAAAGTAAGGAAAATCTCAATGGTTCTCAAAGAGAGCTCTCTGGATTCTTGTAAGTGACTGCACAGAGCAAATGTAAGCAACAACGGACTGGTGAAAGTAACTAGTATAAGAAGGCTTGCATAAACACTTGTTTATGTGTATTCATGTGGAAGCAAAGTTAGTGTAGAATTAGAGGAAAGCAGAACACTAGGAGACACTTCAGTATGTAAAACACTCATTATCTTATCTGTACTTAACGTTCTACCACCTAATTCAACACATCCACCATGCATCTCATTCCCCACAAGGATGTGAAATATCAATAACAAAACTGGAGTCTTTTGGCAAAAAGCTACCATGGGCTGATGGACTACTACTAATTACTAATCCATACATTTATATATTTTATTAGCAAATGGTACCACTTAATGCTACCATTTATTGGAATCTTATATGTGTGTGGGTAATCACCGAGGCAGTTACTTGAGAGGAGAGCGCCAAATAAGATGGATAGATAGATAGATATAACAAGCCAAATCAGTGTGTGTGTGAGGGTTACAGTTAATTGTTTTAAGAGTCATTTACTTAAACTTGCCATAAACCAACTACACAGGTTTAGTACAAAATGAGAGCAAACACGTGGCGGCCACACGGTTCCATTTATCAGGCATTGTGAAATCTATTACACAGGATGAGAAATCCATTTTGACGTCAACACCAGATTTGTGCCTGTTCGTGAAAATCCCAGAAAACTCAAATACAATAAAAAAAAAAAAATAGGATTGGACATATAATCACAGCTATATTGTCTACACCCAGATATTGGAAACAGACAAAATAACACCCTTAAAGAAGCTTTAGACGGATATTGGATAATAAACGCTATGAGATGGCACTTAGACAACAATCATCTATGAGTGACCAATTAAGATTTCTTTGGAATGTATGGGGAAGATAATATTAAAAGTTCATATTCCCTATATTTATACCCTTAATTGACCTGTTTTGATACTTAATTCTATAATTGTGTCATTATATATCTTCAGTTACTTTGCATATATTTTAAAATATTGTTGCGCTGATTGTGCAATTGCATAGTTTGAAAAATTGCATTGTTTGATTATTAACATTACCCGAAGGCTTTGCCCCACTTTTCTTTTTGTTCCCCCCTTGTTAAAATTAAAAAAATAAATAAAAAAATTAAACCAAAGTTTCTAAAATTAATATTTTGAAAAAAACTTTTCAATAAAAACATTTGACTAGCAATTCACAGATAAAGTGCCTGGTCAATAATAATAATCTTAAAGGGAAACTATAGTACCACTCCCCACCAACTACACCTGTGGTGCAGAAGGGGTTAAAAACGAGGACTTATCTGATTCTAGTGCCGATGTGCCACAGCCCTGGTTCAGGCTCCTCTCCAGCAGATGTCAGATGCAGATCGCTGCACTCGCATTAGGACTTCCCTCATAGTAAAGCACTGTATAATGCTTTTCTATAGGGTTTTGGGTGAAGCTGGAAGTCCTCATGCATTGCATAAAAACTTCTAGCGTCAGGGAGGCTACCAAAAGACCCTCTAGTGGCGGTCTGTAAGACAGCCAATAGAGGTGAAGTTAACCCTGGCAGGTAATTATTGCAGTTTATCAAAAACTCCAATAATTTCCATTGCAGGGTTAAGGGACTTGGGACACTGCACCTAGACCACTTCAATGAGCTGAAGTGGTCTTGGTGCCTTTAAAGTGACACTTTAGGCACCCAGACCACTTCATCTGTTCGAGAAAATCCCAGAAAATTCAAATACAATTATAGATTAGTGTTCAAACTCAAGGAAAATCGGTCTAGATGAAAATGCTTGTTCTTGGGTAGAACATTGGCTTAAAAATAGAGTACAAAGAGTTGTCATTAATGGTAAATTTTCAAGCTGGACAGAGGTGGCAAGTGGTGTCCCTCAGGGGTCTGTTCTGGGACCCCTTCTATTTAACATATTTATAAATGATCTTGAAGACAGCCTTGAAAGTCATGTTTCAGTGTTTGCAGATGACACAAAACTTTGTAAAATAATACAATGTGAGCAAGATATTACTTTGCTGCAGAGGGATTTAGATAGACTGGGGGACTAGGCACTCAAATGGCAGATGAAATTTAATGTTGAAAAATGCAAAGTTATGCACTTCGGCGTAAAGAATACACAAGCAACGTATACCCTTAATGGAAGCGAATTAGGGATAACAACACACGAAAAGGACTTGGGAATTGTTATAGACTACAAACTATGCAACAATGTGCAATGTCAATCAGCAGTGGCCAAGGCCAGTAAGGTATTGCCATGCATGAAAAAGGGCATTCATTCTCGGGACAAGAATATAATTTTGCCTCTTTATAAATCACTGGTAAGACCCCATATTGAATATGCTGTGCAATTTTGGGCACCTGTTCTAAAGAAGGATATTATGGCACTAGAAAAAGTGCAGAGGCGGGCTACAAAATTAATAAAAGGAATGGAACATATCAGCTATGAAGAAAGGTTAACAAATTTAAACCTATTTAGTTTAGAAAAACGTCGCCTGAGAGGGGATATGATAACATTATACAAATATATTCGGGGCCAATACAAACCATTGTGTGGAAATCTATTCACAAACCGGACTTTACATAGGACACGAGGCCATGCGCTTAGACTGGAAGAAAGAAGATTTTGTCTAAGGCAAAGGAAAGGTTTTTTTTACTGTAAGAACAATCAGGATGTGGAATGCTCTGCCTGAAGAAGTGGTTTTATCAGAGTCCATACATATGTTCAAACAGATACTAGATGCATACTTGCAAAAACAGAATAGTCAAGGATATAATCTTTCAATGTAGGGTAATAACTGCTTGATCGAAGGATAAATCTGAATGCCATTCTGGGGTCAAGAAGGAATTTTTTTCCTAGCTTGTTGCAAAACTTTGCTTCAAACTGGGTTTTTTGCCTTCTTTTGGAAGGCTGAACTTGATGGACGCAAGTCTCTTTTCAGCTATGTAACTATCTCAGTGAGCACTGCAGGTGTAATCTGCTTCGATCCTTGCAGGCAGTGTGCCTGCAAGAATCAACTCGAATGTCCCATCTCTCCCCCTGCATTTGGTAAATTTGTATTTAGTTTTTTTTAATTTTCTTCCCTTATTTGTCAACCAAGCACCTTTCCTGCATCCCATCCAGTAAGTACGGTCAGATCAAATGATTATGTATGAGAAGCAGTTGACTGGATCGTGGAGAGAGAAGTAGTGATGTCGGATGGTAGTGGAAACCAGCGAGGAGAACTTCATCCAGTGGTGGATCCCAGGTAAGTTTTAACTTAATTGAATAGGGTTTTGACATTAATAAAGAGAATGTGGACATACTTACTAATGCTCAATATGTAATTACAGATTAAAATCAACTTATTGTGAAAAAGAGTCACCTTTTAATTGTTCCTATCCAACATGAATTGATAAGAAATACTGGTCCTTGTTCATATGACATTACTAAATTAAAAAAGAAAGGTTATAGCCTGATGTAGTGCTACATGTGTACACAGAGTGTCCCCTATTCATCCTTTAAAAACATTTTAGAAGAGAAAGACAGCTGGGAAAGTGCTCTTCCTGATGTATGTGCAACAAACAAAAGTGGACATCAATGAAGACACAACACTGCAATTGCCTCTCAATGCTTCATGGACAAAGTTCTCCATAAGATGACCTGGATTGTCTGGAAGAAGATCATTACTTAAAGGAACACTATAGGGCCAAGAACACAAACATGTATTCCTCACCCCTTTGTGTTAAAACCACCATCTAGCCCCACTGTCCCTCCTTGCCTCCGTAAATATAGTAAAATCTTACTTGAATTAAAGGCTGCAGCTCCTGGCTCTGCCCCTGTCTACTGACATCAGCAGAAGTGTTGTTCTGAACCAATCACAATGCTTCCCCATAATTGTGGCAGCGACGGTCAAGGAGGCAGATCAGGGGCAAAGTCAACACAAGTCAAACACAGCCCTGGCCAATCAGCATCTCCTCATATAGATGAATTGAATCAATGCATCTCTGAGGAAAGTTCAGTGTCCGCATGCAGAGGGTGGAGACACTGAATGGCAGTGCTGCACACTAGGCTGGACTGAACTAGGAAGCACCTCTAGTAGCCATTTCAGGAGTGGCCAGGGAAGTTATCACTAGGCTGTAATGTAAACACTGCATTTTCTCTGAAAAGACAGTGTTTACTGCAAAAAGTCTGAAGGGAATTATTCTACTCTCCAGAACAAATTCAATAAGCTGTAGTTGTTCTGGTGACTATAGTGTCCCTTTAAACCCTTTATGTCAAATCGCGTTTACTACGATCATATACTCACTTCTGACTTCGGGGGAGCTGTCATCATTTGGATTTCTCTTGACCTTCTCCACTAACTGTTGTGTTTTCACCCTGAGCTTCTCTGACTGCATTAAAAACAAAAGCAGAATATATGAATTGTAGAAAACATCTGAAAGTATAAATGGTAAGGTATCATATGATGTTTATTTAATATAGTATTTTTACTCATAGTAAGTTTTAAAATATTTGAATGTGCATGCACAGTTTGTAATGTGTATTGTAATTTTCACCACATTTCTCATCATTTAGAAAGCTGTTAAATTCACCTTATTTCCAGAGCCGTGCTGGCCTCGTCTCGGCTGGCCCCACCCCTGCTCTGCCTACTTGGCAGAGATCATCAAACTTGATGATCTCCGCCAACCCAATACTTTCCATAGCAAAGTATTGAGGGGCTATTGCGCATGCTCGGCAAAAACATCACGCTGCACTAATCAGCATCTCCTCATGGAGATGCATGGAGTGGAGACACTAAACGTCAGTACCCAGGAAGCACTAGTGGCTGTATGAGTGACTGCCACTAGAGGTGTTCCTAGGCAGTAATGCAAACACTGACTTTTCTCTGGAAAAAAAAGTTGTCAAGTGGCCAAGGACAACACGTAACTTGCATAAAACTTTTTTTGCAACCTGATATTGTCACTGTAGCTCATAAAATTCAAAACGTCATCAGTGTAAAGAAAACCCTTGCAAGTCTCAGTCAGACTATAAACAGAAAGGTACCAAAAAAAAAAAAAAAGGGTAACATGTCACCTTAAAAAATGTATAATAAGTGCACATATTATATGATATACGACATCAAAGCAACACGTGTAATATGTGAAACCACTGACACCAATATTATGAGTATGTCTAACTTAATTTATAAAAAGCAAGCTGGCAGCAATTTCAGCTCTGCATGTAATTAGGATTTAATTTTTTATTATTGTGGTGCTGTTGGTGCAACTATTGGATATAGAAGCAGGAATGTGCTTTTGTCATTTAAGTATATTATTTTTAATATAGCTACATTGTAGCTATTAAGGATAGTGTTCACTAACAAGCAATTTGTAAATGGTTACTCCAAACATACCCACTACAGCCTGCTGTAATAGTTATAATGTTAGGAGTACACTGGCGTTGTTCCCATTTTGCAATGGTTTGCCTTTTACGTGGTTCCTGCTAGGCACCAAAGCACCCACTATGGCAGCTAAACCAATTACAGCTTCTGGAGAGAAGCAGATGCTGATATTTTATTCACTCACCTTTATGAATGAGCAGCTAGAGGATCAATTAAAACATTTAAGTTTTTCTTTTTTTTTAAACCACACACTTTTCCAAATGGGGAAATTGTGACACTCTCAACCTATCAGCAGCGTCTGGTTCATTGCTTCATGATTGAAGCCTCAGACATTCAGCAATCAGAAACCATGTTCCAGACTTTGGGGGTTAAAAGGATTCTCCAGTGCCAGTGCCCCTTCAGTGACTTACCGAAGTCCAGCACCGATGTTCCTCGGTGCTGGGCCAGGCTCCGCCTTCTCTCCTCTGTTATGGTGTACAGAGGGTCCATTTAAGATTCACCGAATAAACCTAATATGTGCAGCTATTGAAGGTGACCAGAGAACATTCAGTACAGGTTACTGACCTGACTTGCCATTTCTAGGGACATTAACCGCTTAACAACATCATCAACACTGCAAAGAGGAAACAAAGAGGAAAAGCAGGTAATTTAATTATGAGCTAGATACACAAGTTTAAATAGTAGATAAGAACATGTCTTATGACATTCTTTATAACTAACACAGATCATGCAAAAAAAAAAAAAAAGATATAGAATTGAATTGTTTTTTTTTTTTTTTTTTTAAAAGAATTACTGCAAGTGCACTCATATAGCAAAAGTGTCAGTAGAAGGCAGATAACTCCCTCACTAATCAGAAACCTTTCAATCTCATTGACAAGGTCTGATCTTATTCCATATAAACCCACAAGCACTTCCTATTACAACAACCTTCCCAAACACCTCACTTACTCCTCTACTAACTGTACATCTGCATAATCTTTCTGCAACATGGTGGGAGGCAAGTCATCAAGCTGGCTTGGTCTATCTGCAACAATGTAAAAGAAAACACAAATAAATACACCGGCATAGGATATGAAAGATCGTACTGATCTCCCTTCAGCATTATTTAAATGACACCAGTAAAAGTAGTCCATTGCTAACAGAAAGATAATCTTGCATTTATCAGTTATTAGTGACAGGTATTTTAGTAAACATGTTATACTAGTAAATAGCCTTATTAGGGGGTATCTTGTGGCAATTGTAAATCCAAAGGAAAATATGTTGCCACAGAAATATTGGTATATTTTACAACATGAAATTATCTTGGCAGCTATACGGATTGTAAAATCTATCAGCATATTTCTCCTTGCCATGCATTTTATTAGCACTTATTAGCAAGATCCTAAAATCCACTTTCCCATTGGTCAGGATAAGTAAATCATATAAATCACACTGCAGGCAGCTGTCCATAATCAATTTACTGTGGCAACACTGCCATCTCCATTGTAATAGACTAGACTTGTTTGACACTAGAAAAGTTTTGTAAAAGTGTTGTAGAACTTTATTTTATATTACTATTGACAATTCACACAAACATTTTTGGCTCCAAATTAAAAAAAATAAAAAAATAAAATAAAAATATATAGTTTAAATATCCAGTTTATCCGATTATTGTTAGTATTATTTATAAAAGCACCAGCAAGTAGGTGGAAAGAATGAATACAGCAACCCAATTAAATCAGATTTTATCGAGGTGCACACTTTTATAATATATTCTATAATATTTAGTTAGGATTTATTACAATGAAGTTTCCTATAGGCAATTAAAAAATAAAATAAGGTAAGATAGGCCACAATCCAGTCACTGAGCACAACATGTAGTATATGAAAGTGCTTATATAATTACCTTGCTTTTTCATCTGTGCATAATTTCTAACATGAATAATGCAGGCACCTAAACAAAAGGGAAAAATAAACATCAAAACCTGGTGATACAAAGATGTGAAGAGAGGTCAATTAAAAAAACAGCAGAGTGAAATGGGATATGGAAAATGACATTTTGGCACTTTTAGATCTGTTATTAGGTGATTGGGCAGATAAGCTCAGTTGCATTCACTAACATATTTTGTAATTACACTTATATTGTAATAGTAAATGTTACCAGTTAGGCGTCAACAATGTCAATGGCCCATTGGCTTAAAAAAATAAAATAAAAAGATACACTGCAGTCATACCTGTCCCTGCTTTACCTGGAAAAGGTAAACACACAATGCAAAGATGGTGCACTTTCTATCTACATAGTCCCCCCAACTGCAGACTACATGTCAAAACTGGTCACATTCACAAATATATAAATATCAGAAAGGCAATAATGCAGCATGTCATTGATAAATCACACCATGTATTCCAGGGGCTTCTTATAGTATTTATAGTATTCTAATAACAAAATGCACACAGCATTGCTTAGTCCAGATGATCAATATTAACTGAGGGCTCATTAAACTGATTCTGTTAGTCTTGTCTTCCCACCCCTAGGTCATGCTTTGGTGTCACTCACGTGTTTCCAGGGCTCTCCATGCAGTAAAGCAGCTCTGACTGCCTGTCAGGCGGCCTCCCGAGCACCCCGAGCCGGGGAGCAGCCCAGTCCCCCGACCCAGTCCCTCACACAGCACTCTCCGCAGCAAAAACATCCTCAATCCCGGACATTCACCTAGGGCCAGCAAATGTCACACGGAGGCAGACATGTTGGATAGGAAGAAGTAATCGAGCGTAGAACCCGATTAAAATAGCATTGCCCCCTAGTGGATATATGACAGTATGCAGGCACTGCCAGATCGAATTCAGGACTCCAGTTACAATTTAGTTTTTGATAAGCTTTACAAAGGATTTCATATTTTTGGATACACTTTTAAAATGAGTTAATATTAAGAAAAAAACTAAATAACTAATATATATATATATATAATAGCAACAACATTTTAGTATTTATCCAAAAATATAAAACCATGTGAAAAGTTTAAATAAAAATGAAAATGACAAAGCTCCCAACTCTAAGACAACACAAGGAATTCTCCAGGCACTCAAGGTGTTCAAGCCGCAGACAGTTTTAATAGAACAAAAAAAGGAACAGCAACGTTTCGACCGACTAAGAGGTCCTTTTTTGTTCTATTAAAACTGCCTGCGGCTTGAACACCTTGAGTGCCTGGAGAATTCCTTGTGTTGTCTTATCGTTGTGGTGTTGCTGGTCCTGCTCCGGAGCACCAGGAGGCTGTTGAAATTGAGTGTGGCTCCTATTGTCATTTTTGCAATATAGCTCCCAACTCTGGCATCATATGAATTGGGGTGTCTGTGGGAAGGCGGGGGAGGGATTGCGCCACTGGTGCTGATCAATCTGAATGATTGGCAGGTTAGTCTGGTGTGAATGCATATCCATTCCAGGCTCTTAACCATGTGAGTTTGCTACAATTTAAGCTCCTTTTGACCATTTAGTCCTTAGCATACTGCACCAATTTTTTCTATTTATCTTTTTCCCTAGATATCCCTATATACACATATGTATCCCTTATTATAAGGGTAAGTTGTATTCTATTATACTAGCGCTCCACTGGGCCTTGTTAGTTGAGGACCCTGCTTAAACAAGCTTACAATCTAGAGGAGCTGGGGTATAAAACACAATAGGAAGGGTATTGAGAGAGACAGCAAATAGACATGGTGGGAAAGTAGCAGAACTGGAGGTGACAGTGGAGTTGAGGTCTTAATTAGTGCGTTCATTCTCCAGTTCACTCTCTCCAACTGTGCTACCTTCTGTCCCTGTCACCCTGTCACTATCCCCCATGATGTCCTTCCTATTTTGATTTTATACCTCAACTCCTCTAGATTGTAAACTTTTTTAAGGAGGTTCCTTGATTAATCTATTGTTCATATAAAAATTTGTAATAGGTGGTCTCGTTTGTTGTTAAATTCCTGCCTTTAATAAAACTGTAAAGCGCTGCAGAATAAGTTGGAGCTCTATAAATGCAAATAATAGTAATAATGGCCGAGCTGTGACTACAGCTGAATTGAAGCATTTCTCAAGGTAATATATTTAGGACTAAATTTGCCATACAGAGTTCAATTTGCTACAGTGTGGAGTTAAGTGAATAACCATGTGAAGTGGGGAGCTTGGTACTTTAAAGTGAAAAACAAACAGGACCTTGGTGGTTGTGGTGCTTGGAGTATTTCTTTAAATGTATGTGCATCCTGCTGCCATCTCTTCTCCTGGTAAACAATGCACACACATCCAGCCATTCACCTGGTCTAAAAGAAAACTAGATTCATCAGTCCAGGCAACCTTCTTCAATTGCTCCATTGTCCAGTACAGATGCTTATATCTCCATTAAATTCACTTTCAGCGGCGGACAGAGGTCATCATGAGTACTCTGAACAGTTTGTGTCGAGGCAGCCATTTATGTTTTCAGCAATTTGAGCTACGGTAACAATTCTGTGGGATCGGCCTTCTCTCCCCACATGCATCAATGAGCCTTGAGCTCCCATGACCCTAATGTCGGTTCACCAGTTGTCCTTCCTTGCACCACTTTTGATAGCTACTAACCAGTTTGAAGATGCTCTGATCCAGTTGTCTAACCATCGCTCTTTAGCCCTTGTCAAAGTCACTCAGATCTTTTCACTTGCTTTCTTACTTCCAACACATGAAACTCAAGAACTGACTGATTACTTGCTACCTTTTATATCCCACTCGTTGACAGGTGCCATTGTAACAATATAATCAATGTTATACACTTCACCTGCCAGTGGTTTTAATGTTTTGCTGATCAGTGTGTGTATCTATCTATCTATCTATCTATCTATCTCTCTATCTATCTAAGGGCCCACCAAGACTAATGATTTTAATAACATAAAGTATAAGGGGTGTGGTGGGTGGGATGACCTGAACGAGAATGGCCCAGGTAAGAGGGTGATTGGGGTTCTTATAGGTCAAAGATAGATTCAAACTCCTCCCACAAATACAGGCCTATGACCTTAAAACATATATATGTATGCATGCATGTTCTTTCATTTTTTTGGTAATTTGTGTTTGAGAGTTTTTTGGAATATATTATTCACCCTGGTTTGTAATTTACAACACTACTTTGTTTGTTACACACCATTTACCACTACACATTTCTGCTTTATCATTTATTTGTTTTTAACTGTGTTTCAGAGTTATCCAGGTTGTTTATAGTATTTTAGGTACCACTATTATATTTGCTTTTTTCTTGTTTATATAGGACGTAGGAGTCACGTGCGGCAACCCGAAAGTGATCGTGTGGCCTGCCAGGAGTCAGGAGTGTTTGAGCTGCGCACGGCTCAATTGGAGGACCCATTCCGCAAGCGGACCGGGTAAGTACCGTTACAATATTTTTTCAAGCTTTTCTCAAGTTTCGGTACCATTTGCAGGCCGTTCCCCCTGCCGGCAATCGGTCTTCTTCATAGGGGCTCATCCAAGCAGGCCCCCCTCTGCAATTTATGACCCCCAGGGGCCATGTGACCGCTCAAAAAGCGGTCACATGGCCGTAATAGGTGCCACGGTGCTGCCAGCAGGGGTACTGCCTGAACTGACAGGCAGTCCCCCTGCTGGTGAAAAAAGATTTTAAAAAAGTAAAAAAATAAATAAATAACATTATTAAATAAAAAATAAAAAATATATATGTATATATGATATATATACATCGTAGTAGCTTGCACTCCAAGAAGACTTTTGTATTGCCCAGTGCTGGTTGGGGCAAAGGTAGATATGGGTGTAGAAACAATCACACTCCTGGGACTTGGTTGAAGTAGTAAAATTTAGTTTATAATTATTCCATATAAAATATAAAATATCAACGTTTCAGCTCCAACATGGAGCTTTTATCAGGACAGGTATGATATATATATATATATATATATATATATATATATATATATATATATATATATATATATATATATATATATATATATATATTATATATATATATATATCTTATATATAATGTCATACTATATGTATTTTTTTATTAATATATATATATATTAATATATAAATACACTTAGAGTCAAATTACACACGTGTATATATATATATATATATATATATATAATATATATAATTACTGTTGTGGAAATGAGATATTAACATAATTTTTAGCTAGTAAAATGTCTATTTACTCCATTTAGTTATAATCAGTATTGTTCAATAAATTACTAAAATCACCACTAGATGTCACTCAGGAGTATCCCACCCATCGACTAAACACTCTCATTTTCAAGATGGTGCTGGAATCCGGGGGAGAACTTCATGACGACAGTAATGACGTAGGATGGTACACTCAGTAGGAAGTGCTCTGAATAAAACACTTAACACCTCACCAATTAATGATGTATTATTTCATGTTATCTTTGACAATACATATGATGTAATTCTGCTTTAAAAGGGACTTGCCATCCCCTCTGAATAAACTTTCCTCAAGTTTTTCATCAACCTGAAACTTGTGTCTGGTGTGAATTACTTCAGGGAGCGTGCACGCACTGTTTCTTAATTTGGCCAGGGGCAGATACACAAAATAATCAATTTATTGATTGATTTCCACTTCAGTTACTATATATATTGTATATATATTTACATAGTTACATAGTTATATAGCTGAAAAGAGACTTGTGTCCACCAAGATCAGCCTTCCTCACATTTGTTTTTTGCTGTTGATCCAAAAGAAGGCAAAAAAAAACCCAGTTTGAAGCACTTGCAACAAACTAGGAAAAAAATTCCTTCTTGGCCCCAGAACGGCAGTCACATTAATCCTTATGTGAAAAAGTGGATATGAAAAACTTTTACCCAATACTTTCTTTCTACATTTGTCAATAATTTCTTGTTAACCTACAGGTAAAACAGAAAAAAATACACAGCATAGTGCAGATTGTATGACAAATAATAAATAAATTTATGAACAAATGCCAAATGGCAACTCACAATTTTCTGAGCTATTTAATCTAGCTCAGATTTTAGAGCTTTAGGATCCGTATAGGCGACCCTCTCCCTTCTTCTCCTTTCTTTAATCCAATTCTATATGGGTACAGGAGAGGGTATATGGTGCAGTACTGTTTTATATTATGATTAATATGTGTAAATAGTGAAGAAGGTACTCACAAACCCAGAGCCGATATATAGGCTCACTTCAATGCGCATATGTGGTTTAAGGACCACATTCCTTCTTTATGTCAGCAGGAAAAAGCCATAAGTGTGTCAAAATGTATCATTTATTAACTATAAAAAATTTATTACACACTATATAAAATTCTTATAAAAATATATATGGCTAAACACTTATAAGGCTAAAAGTCCAATAGAGTCCAAAAAAGTTTTCAGTGCTCACTTCTCCTCCAGCTAAAAGTCCAATAGAGTCCAAAAAAGTTTTCAGTGCTCACTTCTCCTCCAGCTGGAGAAGTGAGCACTGAAAACTTTTTTGGACTCTATTGGACTTTTAGCCTTATAAGTGTTTAGCCATATATATTTTTATAAGAATTTTATGTAGTGTGTAATAAATTTTTTTATAGTTAATAAGTAATACATTTTGATACACTTATGGCTTTTTCCTGCTGACATAAAGAAGGAATGTGGTCCTTAAACCACATATGCGCATTGAAGTGAGCCTGTACACTCTAAACCTTCTCCCCATCCTCCTCCTGCGTCTGTTGGTGGCTGAGGTGGCTGCTGTGCTTGATTCCCATCTCCTACCAAGCCGTCTAGAATATTTGGACCATTGGAAGGAATATGGT